AATACTGCTCGTGACCCGATAGTGTAGTAAGATCAAACAACTGTACAATCTACAATTGCACGTGCAAAACCACTTTGTATCAAGTGACCACTAATGAGAGTAATTATTTCTCTGCATATTGCCTTAATATGTGTCTGCTATGGTTATCCAGTAGGTTAATTACTGATGTGGAACAAGTGTGCAGTTTAGAGCTTCTGACATTGCTTTGAATATCTAGAAATGTATGCTTGGTTCAGAGCCAGGAGGCATTAAAGACCCTTGGAGCAGCATAGCAGCCAGTCAAGAGGCATTTCAGAAGAGGAAGGAGGTCAGCAAAGGCAGTCTCCCTATTTCTCTTAGTTAAGGCTCCATTTAAAAAAAAAACAGTTAAATTAATGTAATGTAATGTAAAGGAGAAAGACAAACAAGGTTATCAAGCAAAGCAGTTTAAGATGTGGAGAGTTCAGGAACCCACAGATGTTATTAAGGCCTTGTTCACACCTTGCCGACCCATTGTGGTCGGTTTAACGGCACCTTTTTTAATTTATTTTTTATGCAGCTCACCACAATGTACATTTTATCCATTGTGGGATGCTGTAATGTGGGTCCACCGGAATCTGCAATAAATAAATATCTTTTAAAACAACCATTCACACCTGAGCATTTTGTCGTGTGTTTTCCGAGTGCAACAACGCTCAGCATGAAAATTCACATTATTTTCAATGTTGCCAATTCACACCTGTGCATTGTTTTGCCTGTTGCATGTAGCTTAAATCTGAAAAAAAAAGTGCAAGCTTTTTTTCAGGCAGAATTGCAAATGTTTGACCCAATATAATTCAATTAGATCACCTGAAAAATTCCAGTCTCCTCTTCCTAGTTCCAGTGGCTAGAATAAAAACACTCAGGCCTGAAAATGCCTGAAAAATTTGTGGGAAAAGGTGCAAAAATACACAAAAAAAAACATTTCCAGATTATACCCGATCGCCTTATAATGCTCAATCTCAAGTGTGAATGGAGCCCAGTGCAGCCCTGGATAAACCCAAAAAGGATTCCAATCTTTCCTCATTGTATCCAAAATTAAAACAATAAATAAAGTTTGGCTGGACATACACTTTAATATTGTTACTTTGCAAGCACATACATGGTTATTCACAAAAGGGTGAAGGATTTGGAGAAGGCAGGAGAAGTGAACAATCTAGGACAACATAGCTGATTTGGGAAAATTCTCCAATTCAGCTCACTTTCCAGTTCAGCTATGTTGTCCTAGATTGTTCACTTCTCCTGCCTTCTCCAAACTCCTCACCCTTTTGTGAATAACCCTGATAGTGTATGCCAGATTTTATCATTCCCGCTCTGTTAGCAGATTTTGGTTTGTAGTAGAAAAATGCATTAAACACAACATCCCAACCACTGAAATATCGTCCTTTTACCAGTAGGGCTCATCAGAGAAATGTGTAATATGATCAATCTGTGCATTCCTGGGTCTTCCATAACCAGTTTGTGAACTTTATTTATTCTGTTTCCTCAACTATAACAAATCTTACTTGCACATTGGTTATTGGTAATTGTAGCTCTTTCATGCATCTTGTATTTTAGGTTTGCTAATTATTCAAACAAATAGCTCTGTGCCTACCAGTTACATCCCACATGCTTTCTATCCCCAAATGTAATTAAAGGTAAAAACTTGACATGACATTTTAAGCAGCTGACCAAACATAGCCTAAAACTAGAGAAAAGGCCGGTATTCCTGCTGTGATAAGAACATGTATGCTTGTCACTTGTTAAACTTTTTATTAACTAATCAGTACTAAATCTGCCAATAAAACCTATTTTGTTGCCTGTCAGTCCTATTCAATAAAGTGGTACAACAAGTAATGATCATAACCCATAGCACCCAATCAGATTTCAACTTGAGATCAGTAAAAAAATACAATTTTGATAGGTTGTTACAGATTACTGTATATGGCCCTATTGAATAAATTAGTATACATGGGATATCAATTATTTTAACATACTTAGAGAGGAAACCCAGAGGGGAAAAAAAACATTTTATTTAGCATAGAGTGGTGATGGGTTGGGACATCTGTCATCTGTCAGGATATTTATTGCAGTATATCAGCTTTGGGGAGATTTCCCATTACTACTTGTCCTGATGACCTCTGTCACTGGAACAGAAAAAGGAAGGACGCCTCCCCAATAGGTATACTTCAATAAGACATGACAAAGATTCTATCTGTTCCCTACATACCCTAAGTTAAAACTGGAATCAGAGGCGTAACTAGAAATCTTGGGCCCCTTAGCAAATATTTTATTGAGCCCCCAACAAATAAAAAACATCATTGTGCAACCCTAATTAATATGGCATAAAGGACCAAGAGAATGCGGTGGTGACATTGCAGTAATTACAGATCTGTGGAGGGGGAAAATGGGCCTTATTTAGCCAGGTTGCTAGAAAAACAGGAGAAGTGTAAATTTTTTAAAAGTACACTTAATGAGGCGACAAGAAATAGGTAACATACAGTACAGCATAGCATATGGGATGAGGTCTTGCAGAATGGGGAATGTACAGAATGGTATACGGAATAGAGTATCAAAGAATATGGAACTTTCAGTACGGCATATGGCATGAGGCCTTGCGGATTAGAAATGTATAGCATGACATGGGGGTGATGTGGTAAGGAATAGAGACCTACAGTATAGCATACAGAATGAACAGTGCAGAAAAGGGAATGTGCAGCATTGCACATAGAATGATCTGGTGCGGAATAGTGAACATATAGCATAGTATGTGTCATGCAGCGCCATTCATTCTTAACGGTACCCCAATGCACTTGGCGAGTGGACATGCGTTGCAGCACACCGTAACACGTTGTAATATACAACAATACATTGTAGTGCTCCAAGTTACAAAAAAAAGTACATTCACCTAATAAATGGGTTGCCTTAATGCAAAGTACTTTATTGTGTGGTATAATGCTCGTGAGCTAATGCAACACAACAGTGTGATATACAATCCAGTCAGAGCCAGCAGAGGAAGGCCGTAGTGGAAGCCTTCTATGTCTGGCTCTTTGTTTACAAGTAACAGCAGTGATCACCTGAGCTGCCACTGCATCTGCATGTTCACACTGGCAGAGGTTGGAATGGGGCACTATTTAACTACAGAGGACTCCACTGATCCTCATGGGCTGCTATGGTGGTAGTTCCACCAGTGGCTGTAATGGCTGCACACGTTCAGATCTTTAATGGATGTTGGACAAGCTGGGTTGGAAAGACCCAAAAATTCATGGGGATACTTCACAAACATATTGTGAAGTATCCTAACACAGGGCCACTAGTCTAACATATCTCATTAGTAATGCCTCACAGCCCAGTCCTCCCCTAATTATTATTATCATCAGCTTCATATGTTTTAATATAAATGCTTCAAAGGCATATCAAATTCCACCGCAAACAGCAGTGTGAGAACTGCAGTAAGATATAGCAACCATTCAGGTCATAATGCATTCTTCTTAACTGCATTTAGCTAAGAAAACTAGATTGGTTGCTGTGAGTTACTGCAGCTGATTGCTCTTACCTTTTTGTTAAATAAGCTCTATTGGTATAAATCTATAAAAAAAATAAAAGACAAATGCTTGGCCTTGCTGCTTAAAGTGTCTGTTTTGTGAGTGTTAGTGAGTTTAGAGGCGATTTAAGCCTCCTCATTCTGTAACTGCGTTTCCTTTCCTCCTACAGAGCTTGCACTAGCACTCACTTATCTCAGAGTACAAATCTCTCCCTGCCTTCTACTCAAAGCCTCCACATCAAGTCAGAACCTGTTTCTCCTCCTAGAGACCGTACCACAACACCATCGGGATATCCTCAACACACGCGCCACGACGCTGGGAGATCTCCTGTTGACAGCCTCAGCAGCTGTAGCAGTTCGTACGATGGGAGCGACCGAGAAGACCACCGAAACGACTTCCACTCCCCCATTGGACTCACAAGACCTTCGCCAGACGAAAGAGAAAGCCCCTCAGTCAAGCGTATGCGGCTCTCTGAAGGATGGGCAACATGATACTATCATTATATATTAGATTTTTTTTTGCAGTGTGTGTGCTATACCTTAATGGGAATGGGGTAGGGTGGGTGGGTCGATATACTTTATATGTGCCGTGTGTGGGGAAATAAAAAAAAGAATAAAGTCAGGTACTCTGTTTTGTAAAAGTACTTTTAAATGCCTCAGTGATTCAGTCTAGGGGTAAAGTGAAAAGTGAACTGCTGAAAGAACAAGCTTAGCACTTAAGCTATCATCAGAAAACTTGTACACAATAGGTTTGGAAGCTAACTTCTTTTTTCACTGTTGTGCTCCCTTTGCAAAATGTATGTTACAATAGATAGTGTTATGTTGCAGGTTCAACGTTATTTACATGTAAATAGACACAAAAAATAGGAAACTTTTGCCAGAACTGGCAAATTTTTTCTAGAAGAGAAAGCAGCTGTCATGCAACATATGGTCAAATGTACAGAAGTTTTGAACAAACCCAGCAGTGGGTGGCTATGGAGAAATGTTGATTGGCTGGGCCACCTAACCAATGTAAACTATGAAAACACACAGACATACATAAAAATAAAAAAAAAAATGGCACTTATCTGAACAAAAGTAGGGTCATACTTCTCAGTGTTTTTGGCAGTTTACATATTTTAGTTGTTTTTTTCTGGGTATGCATCACTTAATATATAAAAGATATAAATTATGTACATTACATTTTTGCTTATTTTCATATAAAAAGTTAAATGAAGTTTGCAAACATTTGTGGCTTTTTGTAGGTAATTTAAGCCAACATGTGTTTTTTTTCCTTGATAGCTTGGCTAATATTTTAAAGTCCTTGAAATAATAAAATAAGTACAAGTTTTTTTTTGTAAAAAATAAAATTTTAAAAAATATTGCCCCAGTCCATGAAGAACTCCATGCTTTTGCTAACTGAAATAACTGTTTTCTCTTTGTAAAAGTCTTTTTTTTTATGTGTATTTTTAAGTATATGAGATATTATTCAGACTCTTTAAGAACAATCTGTGAAAATTAACAAGCTTGTGTACAGCATTCTAATATAAAATAAACATTGAACTAGCAGGGTTTTATCGTTCATTATTGGGGAGGGAACAATTCATTCTTGTGCTGCTGCAAACTGTATGTGGGTAGCTGTTTTGTTCAACTGCATTCATTTTTTGAGATCAAGTCTAGTGATATCCCAAGGATAACCGTCAAAGTTAAGTTGTTTTTTTTCTTAACTCTCCACTTGCATCCGCTTGGATAAGCCGAGATCCACTGTACATAAATACATGAAGGGCATTTATTTTATATGATATTGGTTGGAATGTATCAATTAAAGGAACCAAGAGTAAGCTGACCATACATAGAAAGAGAATTATAAATGTAAACAATTTTGATAGTCAGATGGTCTGTGCCCCATGAGTGATTGTAAGAAATAATATAGGGGCACCGCAGTTCACAGAAAAGCATACTCAGCAGGCCCTAAATAAAAATAACCAGTTAACACCAGTTACAACCAACGTTTAATTACAACAATATGGGCGCTTAATGGTGAGATTCTAGTACACTGTCCCTGCTTTTATTATTAGAACCAGGGGCTCAGGGTACAATTTGTGTGGCTTAGGGGCACCCAATAATTTCGACTCAGGGTGGGGGGGGTCATAAATATTGTCCTAATGCACAGAAATAGAATTTAGAGTACCCTGATGCCCTACTGGGGGGTAGGGGTTACAGCAGCTCAGTTCCAGTTTTTCAGTCTCTAGCTTATGAAGGCAGATGCAACTCCCCCCCCCCCCCCCCCCCCTCTGCCCCTTTGAAT